CACTTGACCATCATGGAGGCCGGCTCGAAGACAGACATGGTGATCTCAGCCACCGACAGCTGCTCGTGGTAGGCCTTCTCCGCAGAGATGACCGGCGCATACGAAGTCAGCATGAAGTGGATGCGGGGGTACGGCACCAGATTGGTCTGGAACTCAGTGATGTCCACGTTCAAAGCTCCATCAAACCGCAAAGATGCCGTCAGACTGGAAATGATCTGGGCAATGAGGCGGTTGAGGTTGGTGTACGTGGGGCGTTCAATGTCCAAGTTCCTGAGAAGGGCTTCAGCATGCCGGATCGATGACTTCTTAGCAAGCTCAGCAGTTCACAGTCTCTCTCGTAACAAGCACCGGTTCCAAATAAAGTGTTCCAAACGAAGACCCAGGATTCCTGCGGCAAATATCGTACAACGCCTCGTTGTCGTACCTCGGCTTTGAGATTCTGCACCAAAAGTCATGGATTTATGGCGTGTTGCCGTAATCGCACTGGCTACTCCAATCCAAGCTGCATAATGGTGACATCTGTGTGCTCGAGTAGTGAGTGCACGCACAGGACAGTGTTATAGGGCTCTACAACAGCCGTGGCGACTTGCGGGCAACACCAGACGGTGAAGGAGATCTTGCTCTTCTTCCCATAGTCCACCGAGAGACGTTCGAGCATGAGGCAACCCAAGCCGGATCCTGTGCCTCCTCCGCAAGCATTGTAGACGCAGAATCCTTGAAGACCGGTGCCTGCAAACAATTTGCTCATTTCTTCCGACGTACATGGCTTCAAGCGGCTCAAGGTGTGGGAAGGGTTTGGTTGAGTGGAAGCAGCAAAGCGTAAAACTATTTCAAGCAGCTGAAGCACAATTGTCCGCAAGCTTTCGGATTCGATCAAGAACCAAGTCAACGATCTCTTTCCCGATCGTATAATGTCCACGAGCAAAGTTGTTTGCTGCATCTTCCTGCAAAATGGACACTTTGAAGTCATGTGTTGGTGGTGCTGTCATGAGAAGAGCATGAGACAAGCACCATGTCGTTATGCTGGACTTCTCCCAAAGTCCTTGCCGGAAATGAGCTGTTCCGGGTGGAAAAGCTGCCGATACGTCCCTGTGCGCACTTCATCCACGACTGTAGGCTCGAGATCAACCTCGGTTTATTTTGTTGTACATGCGGCATTATTTTGTCAATGATACTACTTTTGTTCTACTCGGTCGCCTTTCCCCAATCACAATCGCGGCCAAGCCACCATCACGCAGCGAGGCACGTGTTTGCCAGCTCCAGTCTCACTAAAGAAGGTATTGAA